CCGATCCTTCAAGGATCAGCAATAATTCGATCCTTAACTCACATGAAAACAGTGTTGTCATGTAAATGACATAACTAGTGATACGGGTCGATGAAAAAATCATGGGCGGGGTCGATCCTAAAAAAGCTCGGGCCGGTCGACCGGGCCGAACTTTTTTTGCTAATATAAATTTTTCTAATAAGAATTAGTCTCGATATCTATATCAAACGTGTAGGAAGCCATCAGGTAGTTCCTTGCCAAATTCTAGTATACTAAAATCAATTAGCTTTTTATTTAATTATAATGCGTCATATTTATGTTGATTAATGTCTATGCATCCGAATATGTCAGGCATTTCTATTTCTTATACGTATTAGTTATTTGTTAATTTTCCACCTAAATTAGCCAACTCATGAGTGTCTACATTTTTATAAATGATTAGTTTATTTTTAACCAATTTTTTAGCCAGCATATGAGAATCGATTCTATCATTTCTTTTATCGACCGGCCCGGCCCACAAGGGTGCAGGCTGAGGGTCGACCCGCCCACAGGCCCGGCCGTCGGGCCGGGCCAGCCCGTATCACTAATTGTAATAATAATTCAATTCGTCTTATAAAATGTATTGTGTTTTCATGCAATGTTGGACGATGACTATATCATAATGTCATATGATGTTTCATAAATATAGAATCATATGAATTATATGCATATGAATAAGTCATGTCATAATATTAATATATGACACTTCATATGATATTGTAATATGACAAATCATATGAGTTATGTGACATAACTCATATGATTTGTCATATTACAATATCATATGAACATGACTTATATCATATGCATATAATTCATATGATTCTATATTATATGAAACATCATATGACATTATGATATAGTCATCGTCCAACACTGCATGAAAACACAATACATTTTATAAGACGAATTGAATTATTATTACAATACAAAATTAATTTGATTTGATGACTTATTCGATGGATTCAATTCAATTTCTGATACTCCTATAAAATATATTATATTTTCATGTAATTTAAGGACCGAATCCAGGACTGTCTTTTTAGATCCTAGGATCGGACCGGACTGGATTCGCAATTTAACATCCCTAAGAAAAGCGTTCATGTGATTGGTTAATTTATGTAAATCCAACAGGTTATACTAATAATAGATTATCATTTGTCATTGTTACGCCAAATGTGATTATAATGATAATTTTCCATAGACGAATATAATTGAAAGTCCCCTTGGCAACACTCAAATATTGTCTATGGTATTGCAAAAAGACTATTCTACTCTAAGCTATGCAGTATTTGCTAACAATATACGATTAATTAGATAATTTGTTTTTTGGAACTCATCAAGTAGCCATTAAAAATTGCAGGTTTTATCCTTTTTTCGATGAACCTCCATTTGTTTAGATAAATTATTAAGACTTTTATCTAATTAAATATAAAAATAAAAAAAGCGTATTTATATAGTTTTTACTAATTTTTAAAATAATTTCTTTTAAAGACCATTCAATTTTATACCAGTTAAAAGTTGAGTTCCTATTCATTAGACATTTATCCGGATAACTATCAGATCTGAATTTATTCTGATACAGTATCCATTTATTATCCATTACTATTGATATCCGGATAATTACCCGAATACCTATCGGATTATCTGAATATCTGAGCGACTTGAATTATCCGGATAATTAGATACGGATAAATGGATTATGGATCTATCCGGATTAGAACTTTAGTGGAAGCGTATTACCTGTATAAAAAACCATCCTGATATTTATAGAAACAACTTTTGGATCTGATCCTTGTCTCTTTTTCGAATCTAGCTCTTGAAGTAGACTATTGTTTTCTATATGGTAAAAAAAAAAAAATCCCGAAAAACTAATCAAATTGGACAAATAACGTAACAATAAACCCATCTAAGAAAGCCCAGAGGATAAAATAGTGCTCGATCAAATTTTCATGATCGATTATATAATTGATAACGCATATCTGTTCGATAGTTTTTAATGATCAAAAATTTTATAAAGATCGACATAAATGCTTTTAATGTTAAAATACATAAATAAATGTTAATAATAAAGTAGACAAAATTTTAGGTTAATAGAATTTTACATTATAAATAATAGTTTAATATGCAAGTGTTGATTTACTTAGTAAAATTTCAATTTAAGCATGTTATTATTGTCAATAATAACACTATGAACATAATCATACCACTTTTTATTAGTTAACTTTATATGCTTTACATTAGAAAACTTAGGTGTGCTGTAAAATTTGCTAAAGTAATTACAGTAATGAAAGTAATTCAAATTTTATAAACAACTTTAATAAGCACATGAACCCGTTTTGCTTAGCAAAAAGTCTCAAAAATTTCGTTAATTTATAAAAAGTTCAATCACAATTAAACTCAGATTCCACAAACTAGATCAATGGTTTAAATCGAGCTAGAAACAAAACAATTTCTGTAATTCAAAATAAGAAATATTACTCATTGAAGTTTCACCGGGTGAAATATTCAGATTTTGAAAAAAATTTTACCCGCGGCACTAATTCGTACCATATAAAATTAAAATTTCACAATACAAAGACACTTTTTATTAAGCATTTTGCATTTATAGAAATAAATTAGGATAGATATGCATACATTTTTCGACTTTGCACGCTATATTATATAAATTCGCCAAGTAATATTTATCTACTCATCAGTACTGTACATCTTGTTTAAGCTACTTTTAAGTTTAGTGACTAGGTTAATTCTCCTTGTCGGTGAAGCATATTTATAGAATGTTACTTATCATATAAGTGCGAAATAACGGTTACCTGCGCGTTATTTCAAATACGTCCATGAGCGTTATTTCGAATAAGAGAAGATTTTCTAAATCCAGTAGTCAACTTTCCACAAATGCACGTTGTTGGGCAAATTTGCATTTAAAGAATATTCATTTATTGAGAATAATCTGCATATACATCCATGCGATTCATGCGCATGATTTTGATAGCATTTATCACTAAGTGTGCGCATATGGAGTGTATGTGCTAATTAGAATGTGCGTTAGTTTGGGACGATCATGAGAGACCATATAAACTATTTTTGAGGACCCGATTTTCAAAATACGCCACAAGATGGTGAATGATTTAGTCTTATACATATATAAATCCTTGGTAAAAGCCCGGTAGATCTCCGGTTATATGAGAGCCCTTTGGCCCTTATATAACGATAACAGGGATCTACAAAATCATTAATTCGGTTAGTTATGTACATTGTACCTAATTTTGGAGAATTCCGAAAACCCATTAACCCGAGTTTACAATTAATTTCGCCATTTCATGTGTCAGGATTCAGATCTGAAAGTTCCTTTGAGTGAAAAATTGTATATTCACGAATGTTAAAGACCATGTGCATGGTTTCTTATTTTAATTCAAATAAATATGCAATTAAATGTAAATGATTCACTAATTTGCAAATTATGTACTAATTCTGGAGAATTCCGAAAGCCCAAAGCATTGTTCCGAAGTTTACAAGATGTGGAAAATGATTTTATATACCCATGTAGGGAATAGAAGAATATGGAAATTCTGCTTAGTAAAAATTAAAAATCCGATTAAAACGGTCTTGAAAACTCTGGAATTTGGGAATTAGTGATCTGCATCTTTCTACAAAATTTTAAAACAGCTGTAAAAGGTGTAAACACTATATCATGGGAAAACAACATGATTTCCTTGATTTTGCGAATAAGGGTAATAAAGGGAAAATCGAGGAAATCAAGGAATTCATGTGGATTTCCCATTATATAATGGTTTATACCTGGTTATATACATGGGTGCCTAAACTGCCCATCTTACAGCTGTTCTCATAAATTCTGGAACAACTGATAAAAATTGTTTCGGCTGAATTCGATAAGTTTTTGGTTTCAGTGTTATCGGGGGCATTACAGTGAAGTAGGTGAAAACGGTGAGTCTGTCGCTAGAGGGCCAGAAATCTCGCGTTATGTCAACTTTTAGGCTTATATAGAGGCGTGGTTAGATTTGGCAAGTATCAAACTATTTTGTATTTTATTTATGGGGGTTGGGTTTTTATTTATGGAATGAAATTATTAACACTTGATCTTTGCCCTTACTTTTATTTTTCTTATTTCAGGCACAAAAAAGATGATTTTCTTTATTATGAATTTTGCAGTCTTTTATACATTTTACAACTTCCACTTGATTATGCTACTTTTGGATTTTGACTTAGATTACCTCCACCAAACATTCTTAGATTCTAGTACATACACTTTACTTTAAGGCTGTTTTCTAATTTTAACTTTAACGTCTTATTAATATTTCCTTATCCTATTACTTCTTTATCGCCCATTATTTTTTCACTTTGCCGTTCTAAAACCTCGGCTTGATCGTTTATACCTGTTTTCCTTTTTTGGTTATATGAACTTCACCATTCAATTGTTTGTATTTTAGGCGTCTAATGCATGTTTTATGCATTTTTGATCGGGTATGATTATATGCATTGATTGAATCGTGGTCATCGATCTTTTCGTGGGATCACAGGTTCTAGGTCACGATTCTTAAATCATGTTTTCTTTTTACCTCTAACATTTCCCGGCACTTATCTTATGTGTACCACGCATAATGATTTTATGTTATAAACTCCAGTCTCTTTTTTATAGTTTCAAATATAAGGTCATTGGTGGCTGATTGGCATTCCTTTTCATACTTAATTTTTTTATTTAGGTATTGGTAAGACTTGTTTTGCCGTATCCTTGTTTTCTATTCGGATTTAACAGATGTTTGGCTGGCTTCGTGCGAGCATCATAGTATTCTCCAATTCACTTAAAGAGTAAATATTAGCTTAAAAAGTAAATATTATAGAAAAGAAAAAAATAAAAGTTTTTTTTTTTTTTTTACTGTTGGTATTTTTAAGATTTTAACGTTGAATGGGGTTGCCAACACCTTGCCAGCATTTGTTCGTAACTTGTAAATATTGTTTGGGAATCAGTCATGGATATAGTACGGACCCAACCATTTTGGTTTGAACTTCCTACTTCTAGATTGTTCTTTTGATGCATCGTACATCCAGATCTTTTCTCCGATATCAAATTCTGGGGCTAGTTTATAGTTGGTATCATGATAATACTTTTGGCATTCTTGAGATTGTTGAATATTTCCTAATGCTGTATGTCTAATTTGAGGGAGTTGTTCTATTAATTCGTAGGTTCTCTGGAGGATGGTCTCTTCCAATAACTCTTCATTATTATCGGGATGTATAGGTTGCCGTGCCTCTCAACCATATACAAGATAAAACAGAAATATTTTTTTTGAAGAATTTTTAGCAGTATGATATGCAAAAAGGATAGAGGAAATTAACAAATTCCAGTCAGGTACATTTTCCACAAGTTTAGCTATGGTCTCGCATAGCATTCGATTAAATTGCTCAACCAAGGTGTTGAAAGCTTATGATTAATGTTGAATTTTTTCATGAATTCTTTGATCATGCCATTCTTGAAATGAGTATCTCGGTCTGAAAGGATACGTTTGGGACAGCCATGCCAGCACACTATTTCGTTATATAAAAAAATTCACAACCATTATTGCATTAGCTTTTTCCATGGCCATGGCCTCAGGCCACTTCGTCATGTAATCTATGGTGACCAGAATATATCTTTTTAGTCTTGGAGTTCGTGGGAGTGGACCGACAAAATCAATACCAATTTGGTAAAAGGGCACAGTTATGGGAATTGGGTGTAACAGTCTGATGATTCTTTTCTTTCCTTTTTTCTAACATCATTCACACCTTTGGACGTAGTTTTGAATATTGGTGTACATTTGGGGCCAAAAGTATAAGTTTCTTATTTTATCGAACATTATATCTTTATTAAATGTCCGCCAAGAGAATGTTGGTGCATTAAAAATAATATGGGTTCCACCTCGTGCTTTTGAATTATGTGTAACAGATGACCTTTCTTTTTTCTGTCTTGCTTGTAAAGGATTCCATTTCGATACATATAAAATTCACTTTTCTTTTGTAATTTTTGCTTTTGGACGATGTCAAGAGATAAAGGTAGTCTTTGAGTTTTCAGGTAGATTTTGAGGTAGTTGTAGTGAGTGGGTTCTATTTTTTTTTATTTATTTATTTGTTTGCCAGGTTACCGGAACCTGGTCTGAATTTTGGACCTCGGATTTATGGGAGTTATTAGGTTTTTTTTTTTTTTATATTATTATTATTATTATTTTTTTTTTCTTCAAGTTGGGTTTAAAGTTTAGATTCGGGATAATGCATTAGCGTTGCTGTGTTTATGTCCTTTTCTATGTTGAATGATGAAATCATATAGTTGTAAACAAAGCATCCATCTTGCACATCGACCAGTAAGTTTTGAAGTTTTTAACCATTTAAGTGCACTATGGTCAGTAATGACTACAAAAGAATTGAGGCCATAGTAGTGGTGGAAATGTTCCACTGCCTATAAAATAGCTAGACATTCCAAATCGGTTGCAGCGTAATTTTTTTCATGTATAGTTAATCCTCTGCTGGCGTATGACACAACAAATTCTTTACCGTTATCATCTTTCTGCGAAAGAACTGCATCTAGTCCAAAACCCGAAGCGTCGGTATGAATAAAGAAAGTCTTAGAAAAATTAGGATACTATAGGATGAGGAGCTGTTATAAGATGACGTTTAAGAGATTCAAAAGCGTAATTTTGATCTTCATCCTATTTATACTCAATGTTCTTTTTTAGTAAATAGTGTAACAGGCAGGCAATAGTGGCAAAGTCTTTGATGAATCGTCGATAGTACAACGCCAGACTAATAAATCCTCGGAGTTGTCGTAAATTTTTCAGGACCAGAAAATTTTTCACTTTTTCGATTTTCGACTCATCGGGCTTAATACCATCTCTTCCAACAATGTGACCTAGGAAACAAATTTTATTATGGGAAAAAGTGCACTTTTCAAAATTTAATTTTAACCCAGATTCTTTTAATTTTTCAAAAACAAGATTAATATGATTTAGATGTTCATTGAAATTTTTAGAATAAATATTTATGTCGTCGAGATAAACTACGACAAATTTTCCAATATAGTCAGCCAAAATCTTATCCATTAACCTTTGAAAACTAGCAGGGGCGTTGCAAAGGCCAAAAGACATAACGTTAAATTTATAGGTCCCACAAAAGGTAACAAATACCGTTTTTTCTTTATTCTTTTCATTTATTGGCAATTGCCAGTAACCACTTAACAAATCCAAAGAGCTAAACAATCTTGCTTTAGAGAAAGTTTCTAAGAGATCGTCCATACACGGAAGAGGATAAGAGTTCTTTTTCATAACTGCATTTAATTTGCAGTAGTCAATATATAAACATAACTTTTCACTCTTTTTTGGCACCACCACGATGGGAGAAAACCAAGGACTTTGTGACTTACAAATTAGACCTCTTTCTTTTAGTTGGGTTATTTCCATTTTAATAAATTCTCTAATGCTGGGTGCAGCCCTATACGCGTTTTGCTTTATTGGCGCAGCATCACCCATGTCGATCACATAATTCATTCTTTCAGTTTGTCCAAGCTCTTCAACAGTTTGTGCAAAGATTTCTTTCTCTTTTCTTATTAATTCTTTCGCTTCTCTTTGCTGCTTCTCAGTCAGTTCTTCACTAACCTCCAATTTTTTTATTTTTTCTTCAATAGACTCTTCTTCATCTTCTAATGTTGCTATAGATAGTTCTTCTATATGGGATAAGTAGACCACAGGACTTTGAGCATCTTGCCAAGGGTTAATGTACAATCTGATTCTTCCTTACTCAACATTTCTTCTATAAAATATCTATCAGTTTCTTTAACTTCCTCATCCTTGTAGATCAGCTGATCATACAAATCGTCATCGTTATTTGAGTGATTTTCACATTCTTGCCTTCTATTGTCTAACAACTTTCTTGGTCCGCTATTAGTAATGGGCATTTCGACGACTTTTCCTAAATATCTTAAGATCAATTTTTGTTTGTCGAAATGAATACGAGCTCTTACTTTCTCGAACCAGTCATTACCTAGCAAGAGAGTCTCATCTACCGATTCAATTACTTAAAGCGGGCTTGGAATAGCTAAGTCCTGAACCATAATTTTTGTGTTTTTAATTTTTCCTAGAGCTCTATTTCTTACCCCAGTGGCGATTACTATAACTGTCATTGAGCTTTCTTCTATTTTTAGACCAAGTTTGTCCATTAGTTTCTTTGTGATAAAGCTTGCTGTGGCATCTGAGTCTAGAATTGCTATGACTGGGTTGTTTCAGATCCTTACATTACATCTCGCAGCCATGGTTTTTTTTTCTCTTTCATCCACATAGTTAGTTTCTTCAGCTATCAATTGTCTTCGAAGAGCTTTTGCTAGGTTTCTCTGTTGATTGGGGTACTGTAGCATTTGTCCAACGGTTGCATTTACATGGGTGTTCAGAATATCATTAGCAACGTTATATGAGATAATTGAATTCACGATTGAAGGACCTTTTTTTCTTCTTGGAGCTCATATGGGGGTAAGTATATCATTATTTTGCATTAAATCCTCATCGATTAGAGGATAAATTTCTTCTGACTCTCTTGGTTGGGCATTAATAGTGGTTTTATTTCTTAATCTTCCTTCCTATTGCAATTCTAAATTAGGTCGATGACGTTTTCTATTTTCCCTATCATTGGGTTAGTATCCATTTTTGATAGTGTATATCTCTCTTTCATTGTTAATTTCTCCATAGTGTGCCTTGGTTCTACGTTTTGCGATCTTAGTCGGCTGCGTAGAGTTTTCTCCATAAGAAACTGGTGTTTCTCTTTCTGCAAGGCAATCTCTTGAGTAGTGACCTTTTTCACCACATCTAAAACAAGTTACTATATTACTTGTTCTATTGGTTGGTTTAGCTCGTTGTGTACTTGATTCAACTTGGGTTGCTAATAGGGCTATAAGTTTGGTGTAATTGATGTTCATATTTTGGACCTGCTGCGCCAATTCACTTATATCTTTTTTCAAATTATCTTTTCTTTCTTCTTTTCCTTTTGCCGCCTTATTTCCGTAATAGCCTCTAACTTCGATCTTTTTAGCTACAGAGATGGCTTCCTCCAAGTCTTTTGGGTCTTTTACAAAGACTAATGATGCTACTTTTTCTTGAAGGCCTTCAATAAACATTCGCATGATGTATTCTTGGGGCAAAGCAGTTTCAGAATTTACTCTTTTTAGCAGCTTTTTGAATTTATAAGCATAGTTTCCTACATGTTTACCTTCTTTTTGACTTAGTGAGTGCAATTCAACCTGCCATTGATGTCTTCATTCAGAAGTGGCGAAATATTTTAAAAATTCTGATACAAAGCTTCCTTCTTGATCATATTGTTCGTTCCAATATAATAAGGCTTTTTTATTGTTGTGGAACCAGTCGGCAGCAATTCCAGCTAGGTATCCAGTTACAATTTTAATTTTTTTTCTATTTGCCTAGCTATTAGCGTCAGCAGCATGTTCAAACGCTTCTATTCACTCAAAAGGGTCTTCCTCTTCTTTTCTGTAGAATGTTCTAACTCTTACCCAATTATTTTCTCGTTGCTCTGATCATACATTGTAAATAGCTTCTAAGGTTGCATCTTGAAAGGCATTTGCTATTTTTCTAAGAATTATATTTACTTGATCTTGATTTACTTGCGTAGCTCCGTTTTCATTTTCATTTTCATTTTCGCTTTGTACAGATCATTGGTTTTCTGAAGAGTGGTCGAAGTGAAGGTTTTTTTCCTTGTAAAAAAATAAATGAAAAGGTGTTTGTAATATGTAGGTTATCTTTATGTTATATTTATACTTAGTGGTTTATATGTTAGGAGTTAGGAGAGAGACAAAAAAGAAAAAGAAAAAAAAAATTATTTTTCTCTTTTTTTTTTTTGTAAGGAATTCTACTTATAGGGTCTTTGGTTGATTACTAATGCTGATAATTTATCGATCAGTCTTATAATAGTGTTTAGTAAGCCTTTAAATTTCAATTTATAACTCACTTATGAGGTAATTATGACAAAAAAAAAAAAATTGTGTTTGATTACTAATTTAAAGTTTAATCATTGATTGTTCATCACTATGACGCTGAATACTCAATTATACTCTTAACAGTATTATTCAAACAATAAATCTTATTCTCAGTATTGTTTTATCTCTCACTTGTCTTTTAGTACCTTTTTTTTTTTTATCAGGGGGGGGAGTAGTTACGCTTCGATGTTCGTATCTCACAGTCAAGCACCAAATGAAGTAGACGAAAACGGCAATATCGCTAGAGGGCCAGAAATTTTATGTTACATCGACTTTTAGGCTTATATAGAGGCGTGGTTAGATTTGGTGAATATCAAACTATTTTGTATTTTATTTATAGAACGAAATTATTAACACTTGATCTTTGCCCTTACTTTTATTTTTTTTATTTCAGGTGCAAAAAAGATAATTTTCTTTATTATGAATTTTGCAGTCTTTTATACATTTTACAACTTCCACTTGATTATGCTACTTTTGGATTTTGACTTAGATTACCTCCACCAAACATTCTTAGATACACTTTACTTTAAGGCTGTTTTCTAATTTTAATTTTAACGCCTTATTAATATTTTCTTATTCTATTACTTCTTTATCGCCCATTATTTTTGCACTTCACCATTCTAAAACCTTGGCTTGATCGTTTATACCCATTTTTCTTTTTTGGTTATATGAGCTTCACTATTCAATTGTTTGTATTTTAGGCGCCTAATGCATGGTTCATACATTCTTGATCAGGTATGATTATATGTGTTGATTGAATTGTGGTTGTCGATCTTTTCATGGGATCACGGGTTCTAGGTCACAATCCTTAAATCATATTTTCTTTTTATCTCTAACAACAGCAATGTTGATAACACCAAATTCAAAAACTTATCGAATTCATCAGGCAATTTTATCATTGTCTCAGAATTTATGAGAACAGCTGTAATAAAAAAGTAATCACGGCATTTAGGCAGCCGAAATTAGTCTTCTTCGAAAACAGCTATAATCTCATGATTTCATGTGTCAGGATTCAGATAAGGACAGTCCTTAAAGTAAATATTTTAACAAAATTGCGAATGTTTAAAGAATTAAATAAATATGCTACTTTGCAAATTATGTTAAATGACATAATTAAAGAACTAAGAAGATCAAATCCCAAGAATTGTAGAAAGTTAAATAGCATTCATAACTTTCCTGCTAATGTTATTAAATCCAAAAAAATTTCATTAAATGTTTCAAGAAAAAGGTATCTACTATTACTTTATTACCGCTCCTGTTCTTGAACTTGAAAATGTTTGTAAAGATGACGGAGGAGACCCAGAGGAAGGTGATGGCTGCTGGCCTCACTATTAAATTTTGGCATAATTTTATTTTCTTTTTGGGGGGGTTTTTTTTAATTTATAATAATTAAAATTTACCTTCACTATATAATGTATGCATCATTCTAATTTAACTGTATTAATCTATTTGTTGATAATTGGCTTATTCAGCAATGATCAAAATTAGCTTGTTTAGCACTTTTAACAAAAATTTATATTTCAGAATATGTTTCATTTTTTTAGTCCTTCCATTTTTTGACGAGTCCCTTTTCTTTGAGAGCAAATATATCTATAGGTTAGGTGATATTTATTTTTAAGTTTTTATAATTTCAACATTTTGATAATTCTTTATTTAAAGTACCTACATACACATATGAGCGTATTTGACTTCAATTAATTATATCACATGATGTGATAATTGGGTTTAAAAAAATTATGACGTTAATACTGTACCGTAAATATATATAATATAAAATTGCACACAAATTTATTACATAAAGGATAATTTTTAAGGCTTTTAATAACACAGTATATAATTCTTCTACTTAAGAAGAAATATAATAAATTTATTGAAAATAACATAGCAAGTCTAATTAAAAAAATATGACAAGTCTAAGAAATGAATATTGAACACTATTATTTTCAAAATTGGTTTCATAATACAGTATTTTCACTAAGAGTGTTTCACTTTATACCTGTACTTTTAAAAATATTTGTTTCATAATAAAATATCTCAAAATTTTTGTCTCTCAATCTTCTACATAATTCATATATATAGTGCAATAATCTAAAAAATTTAAAAAAGAGGTTTGTAAATATGAAGGTGATAAAAAAAATAAATAAATAAACAAAAGACAGAAAACCTGATATAAAATCTTATTTAAAAGCTAGTTTCAATATCTTTCACTCATTTTTACCTATTTCTACTCATTTCTACTCATTTCAACAGAAACCCATCTATAACCAATCTATAAACCGCGATTGCGAGTAGATTCAAGAGAGATAATTATTTGTGATTGGTTTAGAAATCATCTGATCATAATATTGATTTTTAGTGTAGGACAAATTTGTAATAATCACAAATTTTACATAGAACAAATTTATTTGATTGGCACAAATTTGAAGATCTTATTTGCAAATATCACAAATAATCATCAAATGGAGTCAAATCGGCCCATATGTTGATTTATTTTAATAAAAACTATTTAAGGGTAGAATGTAATAAAAATTTTATAATAATTTATGTATTAAAAACATTCGCTAATAAAATATACAATATAGTCTTTCAAACCCCCTAGAGCACCCACAAATTATTTCCTCCCATGATTTTGACCAATCAAATTTCAAGATCAGGTATAATGTAAACAATCAAAGCGAACCCATTTTTTATAAAAAAAAAAACAGAAATAACTCAAAATTCTAATTAAGAAACCACCTTCTGCGGCCTAATTAAAAATGTTTCTCGTGAAATTTTACCAATAACTCCAACCCTAACCCTACACTGTACTCACCCTAACCCTAACTATAACGCGGTTTTATTCTCATTAAAAATTACAGGGGTAGGACAATTTTTGTGGGTGCTTTTGGGTTTCGCAGGTAAATTTTAATATTTTGCTAATCTTAATCAATTTTCTAAAAATTCCAGAACATATGTAATTTGCTATTGCGAGTAGTGTGATCATCAGATTTCATACATCACACACCACACGGGAATCTGGAAATCCGGGTCTTTTCAAGTTTTGATTGAAGATATCTCAACACCCACTTGGTCAAATCCAATGAACTTTTTTTTGTTTTACTTGTGGATATTGATAGAATCTAAATAAAAAAAAATTTATCGAATATGATTAGGTGGGTATCGAGATATCTTCATTTAAAGTTTCAAATGCACTTCTATTTAAATTTTTACAAAAATTTATCTCGACACCCACTTGGCCAAATTCAATGAACTTTTTTTTATTTTTACTTGTGGGCATTAGTAGAATTCGAATAAAGAAAATTAATCGAATATTATTAGGTAGGTATCGAGATATCTTCGCTCAAAATTTAAAATGCACACCTACTCAGATTTTTACAAAATTTGTAATCGAAGATATCTCAAAACCTACCTGGCCAAATTCAACAAACTTTTTTTTGTTTTAATTATAGAGATAAGCAGAATTTGAATAAAAAAATGTTCATCGAATTTGGTGAGATAGATGTCGAGATAACATCGATCAAAGTTTGAAAATAAATTTCAATGTACTTCTATTGTTAGACATTGGGGAATTTTTACAACTACTTGGTTAACCAAAACGAGATATCGTACGCTAATAGGTGACATACTGTAGAATCGGGAATTGACAAGGAATCTTTGGAATTGTGATTTTTTAAGTGGGGATTTTTTGAAAAACAAAGAATTTAAGGGAATTTTACAGATTTCCGTGTGATCGACTGATCACAGTAATTTGAAAAGCACTGTAATATAAAATTTTGGAGTTTATATGTGACAACTATTTGCGATTTGTAATTTTATATAATAAAAATTAGGGGATTCTTTTTATACCCAAATTTATTATTCATACCCCTGCAGATTGAACTTTGAGCGAAGGTTTTTTTTATTTTTACTTGAATTCTATGGATTCATAG